TATATAGATCAGCGCTCCACAAGGAGTAGACAGTGGGTTTAAGGAGAACAATAATTTAGCCACAATCATGCGAGTAAACTACAATCAACCAATTTAATTGAGGTGTGAACACGAACACCCTCAAGGTTCGAATCAGGACAAAAACAGCGCGCTCTCAATTTGTTTCTTACAGACTGCTGCTACTCAGGATTACTACTTTGCGTATCCAGAACTGTGCTGTCGCCTTTCGGATTTTACCCAATACTTTCATCATCACTCATAAACATGAATGATGATTATACCTAGGAATCTGGACTGAATGCTTGCCTAATTTCTCCTGTTACCCTAAGCAGAGCTTAATCCACCGACCAATATTCTCCAGTCTACTCTCTCCTGGGTCTCCCTTCATAGTTCTGTCCAACTTTTGTTCATCCTTATCATTTCCGTCTCCACTTATGAGCATAACGTCTTCCTTGGCCTTCCTCTTGTAGTGGAAATACTTGGTGAAGAAAACGTAATTACTGACATATAAATACTTATTATTGAACATGTGTAGCAATAACTATTTTATTGTACACCTTTTGTTGATGTGTACTTGAAGTCATAATTCAAGCGCCAACCCTGTGGACTTATTGATCGTTTCGTGTGACTGCTATTTGGCTGGCTGAAAACGTGATATTATTTCGATATCACGCGAGTTCCTGTCAATAAATATTCTATATCTGGCCTTCTGATTTGGAGTACGTTTAGGCGTTTAAACTTGGCAACCATCCCAACCACGACACTCTTTTCCTTTCTATTTGCGGGTCCCGAGTGAGGGCTCGTCTTGTGACGCAGTTGGGTGCTTTCCACAATGTATGTCCTATCCACTTCCACCGCTTCTTTCTGATTTCCTCCTCCACTGGAATCTGGTTTGTTCTCTCCCACAGTCGGTTGTTGCTGATAGTGTCTGACCAACTGATCCGAACTATTTTGCATAGACAACTGTTAATAAACACGTGCAACGTGTGGATGATGACTTGTTTTCAATGTTTTCGCCCCATACAGTATATATATATATATATATATATATATATATATATATATATATATATATATATATACAGTATATAATTGTGACTTTGGTGTTTGTTGACATTTGTTTTGAGTTTCGGATGTTTTTCAGTTGTAAAAGTGAACCCCTTGTTATGCCGATCTGTGCCCTCACATCTACATTGGATCCACCTTGATTGTCGATGATGCTGCCAAGATATGTAAAGGTATCAACGTCCTCCAAAGAATCTCCATCAAGAGTGATTTAGTCTGAGCATGTTGTGTTGTATCGGAGAATCTCGTTTTTTCCTTTCTGTGTGCTGAGACTGATACGCTGGTCGTCTTCTCTTGCATGTGTTGTTGCGTGTGCGATATAAGAGTCAGATGATCTGTGAATTCCAAACCGTTCAGCTGCGTCCTAGCTGTCCATTACATAGCATGCTTCGCTTCAGTTGTTGACGTCTTCATAATCCAGGAGGTCACCTTGAAAAAGAGAAAGGGTGATAGTAAGCAACCTTGACTGACACCGATCTTCACCTCGAACGAGTCTGTCAGCTGACCTCCGTGCACGATTTTGCAGTTTAATCCATCATAAGAATTCCGTATGATGCTGACTATCTTCCCAGGCACGCCGCAGTGTTGAAGAAGCCTCCATAGTGTTGTCCTGTTCACTCTATCGAATGCCTTCTCGTAGTCAATGAAGTTGATGTAGAGTGGTGAGTTCCGTTCAATTGATTGTTACAGAATTTGTGATGTTGCAATTCGGTCGGTACATGATTGATCCAAACGAAATCGAGCTTATTGATATCGAACTTGGGCATCTATTGAATCTTTTATTCAGTTTAACAACACTCTGTTGAAGACTTTGTCTGGGATTGAGTGAACAGTGATTCCTCTGTAGTTTTCACACTTGCTGAGGTCATCTATCTTCGGTATTTTGATAAAGTATCCTCCTTTCCAGTCTGCCGGAACATGTTTTCCACCCGAATATTGCAGTTACTGCTACGTCTGCTTTCAGCGTCTCAGCTGGAATGCTGTCTGGTCGTGTTGCTTTGTCAATCTCGATTTTTCCGATGGCCAGGCTGATCTCTTCAATCGTTGGTGGGCCAACATCGTTAAGGAGGTCCATGGGTGCTGCTTTGATATTGGGTGGGTTCAGTAGGGCCGGGCGATTCGAGAGTTACCTAAAGTGCTCTACATACCTGTTTGGCTGTTCTTCAATGTCGTTCATTACCTTGATTTCTTTGCTTTCTACTGGCCGTTCCGGTTTACGATAGCTTTCAGAGAGCTTATTTGTTGTATCGTACAATGGTCTCAAGTCTCTTTCTCTTTCAGCCTTTTCCGACATCATTGTTAGATCTTCCACATATTTAAGTTTGTCAGCTTTCATGCCCCTCTTCACTTACCTGTTTGCTTTTGTGTCTTCAGCTTGTGCCTTGACTCTCTCTGCTCTCATTCGGCTGATGTTGATTACTGCATTTCTGTTCTTCATTTCTTGAATCTTATCCAGTGTATCAACAGAGATCCATTCTTTGTGATGATGCTTCTTGTATCCCCGAACCTCATGACATGTTAAAGTGATTACCTCCGAAATAAGGCCACATTAAACTTTCGCGATTTTGTGCGCCCCGTTATTCAATCCCATCTCGGTGGTTAGCAACTGATGATCTGAGATTGTGTCAGCTCCTTTCTCTGTTTTTACTTCTTCCATTTTCCATCCGAACTTTTTATTGATGCAGACATAGTCGGTTCGGTTCTGAGAAGTGTGATCCGGTGAAATTCATGTAGCTTTGTGTATTCGTTTATATGAGAATATTGTGCCGCCGATGACCAACTTGTTGAAGGCACATAGGTTTGCAATTCTCTCACCGTTTTCGTTCCTTTCTCTCATTCCATGTTGTCCCATGATCTCTTCATATCAACTGGTGTCCATGCCAACCCTGCCGTTTAGGTCTTCCATCAGAATCGTCAAATCCATTGATGAGCATCTGTCGACAATCGACTGCGGTCTTTCGTAGAACTGATCTTCAACGTCTTCATTGTAGTCGTTTTTAGGTGCATAGCATTGCATGCCGTTCTTTGTTATGCCCTCTTTCTTTGTTTTGAAGAATGACTGATGATCCTGGGTCCATGATTTTCCCATTCTTTCAGTGTATTTTGTGACTGGTTGGACAGCATCATTGCAACTCCTAGTATATATGATGGCTTTGTTTTGGGAAAATCCTTTCATGTACATATTTGTAATATGTTCTTACTGACTCTTCTTGTTCAATATTTTGGTAATCTGTTTAATCCCATTTTGTGATGTTAATATTTGTATTTTGTTATAGTTTCTATTTTTGTACCTTTATCGGAGTTTCTATGTTTTCTACTGAACTGTATTATGTTTTTTAAGTTGATACTTAGTTATGGCGTCAGCCACATCGGATTTGACACCCTGGGCGGTGAACTTTGAATCTGGACCGGAAGGTTGCAATTTTGG